GACAAATGGCTGTCCAGTTTCTTCTTAAAAACTTCCAGTGTTGGAGCATTCACTGCTTCTGGAGGCAGGTTGTTCCACTGGTTAATTGTTCTAACTGTCAGGAAGTTTCTCCTTAGTTCTAGGTTGCTTCTCTCTTTGGTTAGTTTCCATCCATTGCTTCTTGTCCTGCCTTCAGGCGCTTTGACTCCCTCTTCTTTGTGGCAGCCCCTGAGATATTGGAACACTGCTATCATGTTCCCCCCCCCCAAGTCCTTCTCTTCATTAAACTAGACATACCCAATTCCAGCAACTGTTCCTTATATGTTTTAGCCTCCAGTCCCCTAATCATCTTTGTTGCTCTTCTCTGTACTCTTTCTAGAGTCTCAACATCTGTTTTACATCGTGGTGACCAAAACTGGATGCAGTATTCCAAGTGTGGCCTTAACAAGGCATTGTAAAGTGGTATTAATACTTCACGTGATCTTGATTCTATCCCTCTGTTAATGAAGCTTAGCACTGTGTTGGCTTTTTTGGCAGCTTTAGCACACTGCTGGCTCATATTTAAATGATTGTCCACTAGGACTCCAAGATCCCCCTCACAGTTATTACTGCTGAGCAAGGTATCCCCTATACTATACCTGTACATTTGGTTTGGTTTCTTTCTTTCTTCCCTTTCTTTGCATTTCTTTCTTCCCTTCCTCTGCATTTCTATATTAGAGATGGATTTGGTCATGATTCTTGTTTTTGAATCATCTACACAGTAGAGGATACAATGGTTAAGAATGCTCTTTTTTTATTTTCTTGGAACAATTTTTCAGATGTCTAAGTGCTGAAAGAATAAATTGTCCTTAGACCAGTGGTTCTCAACCTGTGGGTCGGGACCCCGTTTGGGGTCGAAGAACCATTTCACAGGGGTCGCCAAACAATGCAGTCCGCCATTTCCCCCCCCCCCTTTTCCTTAGCTGTGCTACTCCCTTTTATTCTATTGGCTTTTGAAAGCCAATAGAATAGACTCTCTTGAATAGAGTCTAATTCTATTGGCTTTCAAAAGCCAATAGGAATTGTCCAGGCTGTCTCTGCCCTGCTGAGCCCGCCAAAAGTCCCATTCTGCAAACGGTGCTGCACCAGTTGAGTAGTCCTCGACTTACGACTGGTTGAGTAGTCCTCGACTTACGACTGGTTGGGGGTCGCGGCATTAAAAAGGTTGAGAACCACTGCCTTAGACACTTAAAAGTAATAGAAGTAGTAATATTTTAAACCAGATATGAACTAGTTTTTCTGCTCAGACTGGTAAAATCTAATGTGGTTCATAATCACATTATAATCCAAAGACAATCCACAACAGAATATTGGATATATTCATACTATATGAAAGTAACCTGTTATATATACAGACAAATTCTAGCAACATAACTTCCATCTGTTCTTCTTCCCAAGATCTCTACAAAAGTTATATGAATAGGCCATAGTTTTTTTAAAACAACAATAACAACAACCACACAGTGTTGCAATGGCAATTCCTTTAGTAAGCTCTATACAGGTAGTCTTTGAGTTACAACCACAATTAAGCCCAAAATTTCCATTGCTAAGCAAGACAGTTGTTAAGTGAATTTTGCCCCATTTTATGACCTTTCATGCCAGAGTTATTAAGTAAATCACTATAGTTGTTAAGTTAGTAACACTGTTGTTAAGTGAATCTAGCTTCCCCATTGGCTTTGCTTATCAGAAAATCATATGATCCTAGGACAATGCAACCATCATAAATACATGCCAGTTGCCAAGCATCCAAAGTTTGCTAATATGACCATGAGCACGCTGTGAAAAACAGTCATAACTCACTTTTTTCAGTGCTGTTGGCACTTCAAGCAGTCATTAAACAAATGATTGTAAGTCAAGAACTACTATATAATTTTTTTTAACCTGGTTTTTCTAATTTTCCTCTTTCTGACCGCTCATTTTACCATTTTTTAAAATTTCAATTACTTTTATGAATTTAATTTTCTGACCTGCAACATAATATTCCTGTTGCTGTGGTCAGGAAAAGAAGACACAGAATCTGCCCTAGACTCTTGAAACCAACAACGGCAGCAAAACAATTGAAAATACTCTCCTCACCTCAAAGGCTTCTATCGAGGATCTAATTTCTGGATCTCTGAATTCTGTGAACAGATTTGAAGTGTTATCTCAGCAATGAGATATTATACCAAACTCTACGCTCTCAAGTAAAAATGATCGATTTCCGTAGAGTGGTGGCTTTTTTTTTTTTTTTTTTTAAAAAAGCTTATTATGCATGGTTCACTTTGAAGATTGCATTTGTACCTCTGCCTCCAATAATGCTCCCGCTAAAGAGTTCAATAACATTTTAACTATAAAATATTCTTTAGAACTTAACATTTCCTTATAACTGCCTGGACTGTAATAACCTTTCTGATCAATTAATAATTACTTCAGTAAACATTAATGTTCTGAAGAAAATATTGATTCCTGACCTGGGCAGGGGTTGAACTGGAAGAACTCCAAGGTCTCTATGATTTTGTGGTTCTATGATTTAATACCCATAATGGATCCTTCTGACAGAAACAGAAAGCACATCACCTTTTTGATTCTCAGAAAGATACTTTACTAATTTATAAGCAGGTTGAAAACAATAATTATTGTGCTCCTTCATTCCAAAGAACAAAAACCCTCTGCTTTCACATACTAACATAAATAACTAGTTCTCTCTGTTCTTAATAAAAGCATCAATGCAGGAAGATGGGGTTCTACAGCCTCTGTTTGCTTTTCTCTAAGCCATCTACTACTTCACCAGTAGCCACCTGCTGCTGACCTTGTTCATGCTATCTGGCTTCGCAACAAAATGGCGGAAAAAGGATTTGGCGGTTCTTCAACAATTCAATAATACCATCCATATTCCTATTAAATGAAGATCTTCCTGAGTGCTTTGGAATTTTCTGCGTTCAGATAGTTATTGATCAAAACATGAGACTTCTCCTAAAAAATATTACACAAACTCATACACTATAAAATGGTATGCTTAATTCAGACCACTGTCAAGTTTCTCTTATCACCTCTGTCTTTAACTGCAGGAAGATTCACTAAGTAGCCCTCCAGAATAAGATCATCATTTAGTTCTTTTGAAAGTGAACTAACTCTTACAGCAGATCGGCTAAAGCTGAAAGTCAGAGGACTGATCCAAAATTGAAGGTCCTGGAAAAGTAGTCAGGTTGATCCAAGAGAAAGCAAAGACCCTTGCTGCATGAGTATCTTTTAATACAGTCTAAATTAAATTTAGTCATTCGGTATACCTAAATGACTCAATTAAAGAAACAGCCAGATCTCAATGGCACTGTCACTCCATCGATGAAAGATAACCTTGACCTCTGGATGGACAGCAAAAATCCTGGGAAACAATCTCCAATAAACATCTTCTCTAACAACTGTGCACAAACTGCCTGCTTCTCCCCAATGGATCTCTTTCAAGTACAATTTGAAATAAAGCATACAAAAACAAATTAAAAGAAAAAAATAATGAAATTAGTTACCAAGAATTGCAATAGATTTGTAATACCCAAACAAAATAGAAAAGAATAAATACATAAATAGAAAAAAAATCCAGCAAAAGTAATAGGGAGATGGCAATTTAAAAATGAATGAATGAATATATTGAATTGATATAAATCTCCTAAATAATGTAGGCATTATTCTAAACCAGGGGTCCTCAACTTGGTAACTTTAAGACTTGTGGACTTCCACTCCCAGAATTTTTCAGCCAGCTTTGAGGAATTCTGGGAGTTGAAGTCCACAAGTCTTAAAGTTGCCAAGGTTGAGGACCCCTATTCTAAACAATCAGGCAAGGGATTTGAGCCTTCAATATCAGAAGGTAAATAAATTATTTTTCAAAAGGCTATACTGTAGTTTAAATCTTATATTTTTATAAGCTCTCTCTTATTTGGATCAATACTCTTTGCATACTTTTGAATTTTAGATTTAGTTGTTTTTATTCTTGACTCATAGTGTACTATAATCAGATCCTAGAATCTAAGACTCAAGTTTCACTTCAGAGTGTTCCCATTTTTCCCCACAGGATAGTTTTATAATTTAGTCAATTAGTTTTAAGTATTTAGATTTTATTCATATTCTATAGGTAGTGTTTCTAGGATGAATCATTTTATTTCTATTAGTCATCTAATTTAATTTATTTCTATTAGTCATCTAATTTGAGTCTTGTAACATTTCTATATACATTATATAAAATTGCTGGTCAGTGACTGTAAAAAAACGTAGAAAAAAAATTGTCCTAACTATTATGTAGAACATGAAGGTATAACACAGTGTTTCTCAACCTTGACAATTTTAAGGCATGTGGACTTCAACTCCCAGAATTCCACAGCCAGCAATGTTGGCTGTGGAATTCTGGGAGTTGAAGTCCACATGCCTTAAAATTGTCAAGGTTGAGAAACACTGTACATGACCCACTAAATCTATTTTATCTAAGATGGGCCTAGGATTTTGATCAATTAGGTGACTATCAAATTTCCCTTCAGGAAGGCTAAAGCACTGAACTATGCTAGAGAAACTTGTGAGGATAAATAAACAGCTGGACAATCCTATGTTAGCAACCTCCTTGTTTGGTAACCATTTGCAGTTATGACAATGATGAAAAAGTAACTCTGTGATCCTCCCATTTATGACTTCCACATATCTGTTAAGCAAAGGAGAGGTGAAGTACATTCATAAGCACAGTCACAGTTTCACTTAGCCACCACTTTGCTTAATGACCAAGTTGTCAGTCTCAATTGTAGTTGCTAAACAAGGACTACTCGTAGAGGCCTCTCCAGACCACACACACGTCTTTAAAAAGTGAAGAACTGAGAAGAGAACTTGCAGAGAGAACTTGTGCATATCCCCTTCTAGTTTTTTGCTTTTCCTCCATGAGTGAATTAAAAGCATTAAATTAAATTAACATGGTTCTCTGCATGTACTCAAATCATTTTTACTGATTGACTTTATTTCATAATTACCTGTTCTGGAAAACTAAAGTTTGGATGGATAGTTCTCGGTTGAGCAAGGGTCAAAATCCGTTGAGAAGCTTTGCAACAAAGTGCTGAGGAGCAGACAGGCCACACAGGGGAACTTCGTGGCCTGTAGATGAACAGAAGAAGGGCAACTACAATTTTTGTTTCCTACTAGCCGTGTTCAGGATGCTAAAGAGATCTCAGATCTGATTTATATTCTTCTACCATCCATTGTTTTTGCAGACGGGGTAAATATGACTTTCTTCGAACTGAGATAATCCAGCAAGCTCTTACTGTGGTTTTGTAACACATGGGCAGTCCATTTCCCAGCTAAGAGAACCATCTCTTCCCACATCCTAGGACCAAGTTCACTTATCACAGAGCAGTTTCAGTAAGCTTCTCTCCCACACTTCCCTGCCTACAGACATTCAAAGGTCTCTGAAGCTTTTATTGGGTATACATTAGAACATGGGTGTCCAACCTTTTGGCTAGCCTGAGCTGCACTGTGAAATGAGATTGTCTTGAACTGCCTATAAAATTTATAATATAAATATAGCTAAAAATCACATAATGTTAAAAGTTTACGATCTTGTGGGGCCACATTACTAGCCATCCAGGGCCTTATCTGGCTAGTGGGCCACAGACTGGAAACACCTACATTAGAACTTATCTTCCTTTACTCTCTCCCTTCGCCTACTGTAATTCTATACTGTATGAGCATGGCAATCCAACAAAATTGCAAAATATAATACTGCCAGTGTGCCCTCTCTGCAGGCTGCAGTTTTAGTATCAAGATAGGACTAGCCATGGTGGATGGAAGTTTGGAAAAGAAATATCAGAATAAGCATTAATAAATGTGTATGATCCAGTTAGTGATGTCATACATAATTCTTTTCAATTTTTCAATGCTAATAATTGGAATGGGTCTAAATCAATTTCTTTTTGCCATTTTATAGATTGTAATAGACCACATCCAAATTATATACTCAAATTCATTTCCAAGATTGTATGTGCAAATCTAATCGAATACCTCTCTGGCATTCTATTAACGTGAACATACTTTCTTCTCTTCAGCATGTAAAACTGCTTTTGTTGGGATTATTTCTTATTGATCTCATTCTCGAGCATTTAAAATTAAAACATGTGACATGTTGTAAACACTGTAGTTCCTTCAGACCATATTCCTGTGAAGTTAAATTTTGTCTGATAATAATTTACAGTTTTCAGTCATTGAATGCATCTTTTTACTGAGCATTCGGAAACAATGTCAGAGCCTGCAAGTTTCCTTCTTGATGTGGCCAAGAACATGTTGGCTTGCAGGGCAATTTTTAGAGATCCAAAGTTTGTCTGAACATGCTTGTAGTATAATGTGGCTAAAAAGTGTCAAAATACTAGGTATCCTCACAGTTAGCTTTAACTGTCTAACGGTATTCTCACAACATATTTATTTATATTGCAAATCATTTTTTTTTCTTGATCACCAGCATGGAAAGCAACTGTATTCTTCAACATATCACCATCATTTTCATGCATATCACTGAAACTCTCCTTCCAACATTCTTTCACTTCAATTTCATCCCAAATCATCCATTTTATTATTATTCAAGGTTCTGTGTTTAGCCCTTTTCACCGACTTCCATTTTTTTAAAAAAAAATATCAAAATGACTGTATTTTCATTGCTTTGTTCATCTTAAACTGTTCTTGGGTTCTCTTTGACCACATCCTTTGAAATTGTCTTTTTTCTCTCTGCATACGTCATGCAATTACTTTCTGTAATCCTTATTTTTTACAGCAATCATTCTTTTATATTATCTTCACAGAGGTGTGCTGGCTCATATGGGTTCATGGGAGCTGACTGTTAAATTTGCAAACCAGTTGAGAATAGAGCTGAGCCACCATACCTAGCAATTCCCAAAAAATAATCATTCACATTCAGTTTTGGGACTCTCTGTAACTTTTTCTCTCTCCTTTCATTTCATTCCCACCTATCCACTCATGTCGCCTAATAGATTTTTTTTCCTCCTTAATCATCTTAATTCAGATTTTCATAAAAATCATCTTTGGTTCTTCCATTATCACCATCTCCATAGACCCATTCACGAGTAGACAGTAACAAATAGATAGCAATAGGAGAAACACAACTGAAGCACAACCTTTCCAGCTAATTACACGACTTCTTTCCATTTAGACTTTCCCCAGATGGAAAACTGGCTGCCCTCTGCATATTAAGGAAACAGGTACCTAGAATTTCCCACATATTATTTTCAGAAGCAAATTATTGGTGTCCTATGTGACTATGTAATTGTGCAAGAAAATGTGGAGATTCTGCAAATATCTAACATCTGATGAAATATATAATTTAGCTTTATTTATACTCTTGACCACCTGTCAAAGAATATGCATACCAAATGAAGACAGTACGGAGAGTAACAGCAACAAATATCTGCACAAATAAAAGAGTGTTAAAGAACGCAAAGTTCACAAAATCACATTAAACAGATGTCATATGTAGACCATCCCAGTCTCGATCTAGCCTGTTGCTTAGCCAAAGCCTTGTGACGGACTGTTTAGCGAGGTTGTTAGTGTACAAGTAGTCCTCGACTTACATCCATTCATTTAGTGACCGTTTGAAGTTACAATGGCACTGAAAAAAAGTGACTTATGACCGTTTTTCACACTTAACAACAGTTGCAGCATCGCCACAGTCACATGGTCAAAATATAGCTGCTTGGCAACCGGCATGTATTTATGACAATGACACCATCCCAGGGTCATGTAATCACCATTTGTCACCTTCCCAGCTGCTCTTCTGACAAGCAAAGTCAAAGAGGGAAGTCAGAGTTGCTTAATGACTGCATGATTCACTTAACAACTGCAGTGATTTGCATAACAACTATGGCAAAAAGATGTAAAATGGAGCAAAGATCACTTAACAACTCTCTTGATTAGCTACAGAAATTTTGGGTCCTATTGTGATCGTAAGTCAAGTATAACCTATAAATTCTATTAACTATATTAAAGAGATGAATCGGGCAGAAATTTGCCGGATCATATTTCTTAAAGATTTTTTTTTAAAGATTGGAACTGTTACTGACCAAACCCTGATCTCAGGAATATGGAGAGCTGAACTGATTCTATATTAGAATATCAGCCTATTTTACAAAGGCTTTCTTGCCTGAATTTCTACACCGAAAATCCCACTGGCCTTTGGCAATTAGAAAAACTCATTAGTGTTAGAGCCTCACCTTAGTTTCAGATAAGTTGCAGAAATTGGCCTAGGTTCTGCTAGCTTCAGCAATCGCTTCGTCGGCATTGCAGAATACACTGTTGAAGAACGTTTCCAAATCTCTGACATTTGACCACAGCTGAACACGAAGAGGGACCTATAGAAAAACCACAAGGATAAGTGAAATAGTAGAAACAGGATAAGTCTAAAGTAGAAAGGCCACTCTATGTTTTTCTTTGCTCTACTGCTTCTGGGCACTTCAACTGCAACTTCAATTACTCAAGGTCATAATGATGCTATTGCTATTTGCACAGCTCCATCTTATAGAAAGCTGTGATTTCCTTAGCTGAAAAGACCAATTATAATAGTTTAACTTCTACATGCATACAGGGTGGCATGCAATACTGTGGGATGGGAAATACAAAACACACCAGTACTTCCAGAAACATTATATTAGATGAGCACTACTAGATGTGTGGATTAAAATTAAAAAACCTAATTACATGAAAATACCCAATTGGATTTCAACACTGGAGATTTTTTTGCATCCAAAATTTATGAACCTGGGAAAAGTAATTACATATAAAAACATTCTAGATGAGACCGGAGAATTGAAAACAAGAGGGGAACTGTTAGAAGATGGCATAGAGTTGGAATAGGGGGCATACTTGCAAATATAAGCACGATATAGAAAAGATAAAAAAGAACCTGGGATTAAACTAGAACAGTGTTTCCCAAACTTGACAATTTTAAGGCATGTGGACTTCAACTCCCAGAATTCCACAGCCAGCATTGCTGGCTGTGGAATTCTGGAAGTTGAAGTCCTCATGCCTTAAAATTGTCACGTTTGGGAAACACTGATTACCAGAATATACAGAACTAGATAAAATTCTGCTAGGAACTGAAGACAAAATGATAAAAAAGATTTACCAATATTTATTAGAACAAAGTATGCCAGCAGAACAGGTAAAAGATACAATGTTAATTTGGAATAAAAACTTTGGCTATAATATTGAGTCAGATTATTGGCAACTACTATGGGACAGGAATAGAAGATTAACATTAGCTACTACTTACAAAGAAAACTTATACAAGATGTTTTATAGGTGGCACCTCCCCACTATAAGGCTAGCAAAAAAAGACAAAAAATCTTCACCATTATGTTGGAAATGTAGGGAAATACCAGGGACTTACTATCATATGTGGTGGGAATACTCAGAAGCTCGAAAATTTTGGTACTTGATAAAGAATTGGTTAGAAGAGATATTATCATTAAAAACTGAAGTAAAACCAGAACTTTTTTTATTAGGGATCACTATGGATAAATTCAGCAAAGGAGTTTTATATTTAATTCTATACATTTTAACCGCAGCAAGATTAACATATGCTCAAAATTGGAAAAGAAAAGAACCCCCCCCCCCCAAGAAGAAATACTAAACAAAATTCTATCCTGTACTGAAATGGACAGACTAACATTAGAACTCAAAAATAAAACAGAAACAGAGTACTTTGAAATTGGGAATAAAGTGTATAATTGGTTGGATTTAAAGAGGTACGCTGGGACAAAGGCTGATGATTAAGTAGATAACCTAGAAATTCTTATTTTAATATTTGTTATATCAGATAGAACCAAAAGTTATTTAACTAGGATGTACTTTACTGAAAGAATGTGCACTGTGTAACAATGTAATAATTTAATGTAAAGTAATATTTTTTTATTAAATTTTTTTACAATTTTACAATAAAATCCCTCTCCCACTCCCTCCCTACCCTCCCAAAAACCCTCCCCCCGTCTTCCCAGAGCTGAATATAGGATTAACTAGAACTAAAAATACAAAACATTTAAGCTTAAATAAACCTCAAACAAATATTACATTAAAAAAACAACAAATTTTTAAATACTTTAAGTCCAATATATATATATATATATATATATATATATATATATATATATATATATATATATATATAAAGAAAAAAGAAAGAAGAAAAAAAACAAAAACAAATCTACAATTCTACTTATTATCTTAGACTTTAAACATAAATTATTCAAAAGCTAAATAATATCTTTTAATATCATACTTATACTGTATAAAGTTTATCCATCTTTTCCACACCAAGAGATATTTCTCTTGCGATTGGTCTTTCAAATAAGCCAAAATTTTTGCCATTTCAGATAAGTAAGAAACTTTAAAAAACCATTCCTCCAAAGTAGGCAAAAATTCCTTCTTCCAATATTGTCCTATCAACAACCTTGCTGCTGTGATTAAATTTAACATTAAAATAATTTCTTTATCATCACAATCAACAATAATACCTAATAAAAACAATTGTGGAGTGAATTTTATCCTCATGTAAAGTAATATTAATAGTATCGTTTAAACAGGGAAGTTGTATCAGGTCCAATGTGTCTTTTTTGTCTTTAATTGTATTGTGTTTAATGTGTCTTTTGTGTTTTTTAATTGTATATTCAATAAAATTTTGTAATAAAAAATAGTTTAGTTTCTTATATTCCTTTTGGATGTATTAGAAAAAGGCAATAATAATTTCTTTCCTTAAATTAAAAATAACATTTTTTAAAATTAAATGTTTTTCACCAACCTGTTTATGTTGTGCTTTAATTACAGGTGTTGCAGGAGATGACCAGGCTGAGCCTGAGGGAGGAGTCGAATATGTCATCAGTACTTTCGTGCCCACCAGAGATCTAAGTCCAGCCCACCTTGAATTTCTTTGACTCTTATCTATCGCCAATTTGTTTTGGCCCTTAGTAGTTCAGATTAATGTCAAGCACCAGGGAAATCAGAAGATCCAGGCAGTTCAAATGGTTATAAAGATTTATTGCAAGAATAAATAAAGCTCTCTACAAGAATTTGGACTACAAAGGCCAAAACAATTTGGAGGTAGAGAAGAGTTAAAGGAATTCAAGGTTGACTGGACTTTGATCTCTTATGTGGGTATAGAAGGGACTCATGACTGATGACGCGGTTGACCCCTTCCTTGGACTCAGCCTGCTCATCTCCTACAGATGTGCTGTTTGTCTCCTTTTATTTAATCATCCTGAAGCTTGAATTTGGGCTTATTAATATTTGGTTCATTTTTATGCTATTCTACAGAATTGTGGCAAGCACTTTTCCATGCCTATACATATATACACTTACATTTCCTATCTCTGCCCCCTAGTGTAAATAGGAGATTTGGAAGAAAGTTCAGGACAAAGTAAATAAATTTATTAATTTCACAAGCTGTGCTTAAATCATTTCAAGAATTGTTCCATTATTGCTACATGTTCTGGTACTTGAAAGCATTCAGTGTCAGACTTGGGATTCAAATTAAAACATCCAGCCATTCAGAATAAACAGATGCTTATTTGATGACTCAATCTTGCTGGTGCTAGCAGTCAAGATAAATGCTACACCCTTTTTGTGAACAATAAACTTTACTATTGTGGTCTGAAGCTACTCTGCACCCTTTTCATTTATCCTTTTTGGCATCAAAACTGTATTTCATATTGAGCAAATTCATTATTATTAATCAAAACTATTATTTTCTCAACTTTTTGCTTTTGGCATTTGAAACTACATTGTAGGAGATATTAATTAGATTCTACATCATATTAATTTTTTTTAACAATATCTACACTGGTGAGTGACAATGGTTCTTAAGTCCCCCCCCCCCAAGGAATGTTAGGATTTCAATTTCAAATAGGTTTGTTTCTTTAAATTAGTAGTGCTTATGTATCCTGAAAAAAACAGATGCTGATTTGAGCACAAAAGCAATGTCTGGAGCATCTGCTTAGGGACAAACACAGTATTTATTAAAGGGAAGCAACAGTAAGCACAGCAACATCTCCAATACCCAGACAAAACAATGTACAGTAGTGGACACCAAATGATGGTTTGATCCCAATGATTTTAGTGTGAGAGAGGTTATTTCATGCTTAAGTAGTTCATTCCCTGAAATCAGTGGGACTTCAGCACTAAACGGGTCTATGTATTGAAACCTGAGTAAGGATGGGGAGGAAGAGGGAGATCTTCTTTCAGAAATCTGCCAACCAAATTTCAGATTTGCCATGGAGCTCTGCAATAGTACTCCACCCCCTTGCACTGCATCAGGACCTCAATAAGTTGAATTAGTCCATATGTGGGCAATCTGTTTACCAGTTGGTGAGGTTGCTGCTTCCCAAGTCCTCTTCCAAATGGCCCAGCATTTCCCTCTGCCAATCCTTCAATTTAAGTATCATGCTCAAGATGCAGTACTGGGCTGACAAAAAAAAAAAAAAAAGCAGCATGCTAATTGCCATTTCCTATATAGATAGTGGACATCTGTTAGTTGAGAAATATCACCTGCTGTATCCAACTTAGTATATTAAAGTGTTGAAAGAATGATTAACTCATCATTCTGAGTTCCTAACAAAAAAAAAATAGTCACCTAGTAGTTCTAGCTTTTTATTGAACCGCTTTATCCTTCTACTAAGACATTTTAATCAAGGACTTTTTCTCTCAGAAGTAGAAAAGTGGAATCCTTGGTGCTCTCTGAGCTTGATTGCTTTCTTGCAGACATACTAAACAACATCTTAGTACTACTAACACTAAAGACATTACTTACTTAAGTAATGAAACATCTGCAAGAAAACAATCAAGCTCAGAGAGCACCAAGGACTCCACAGTTCAACCCTAAACAAATATTTTCTTCTATAGGTAGAAAAATATTCCCTTTGTATATGGGATATTTTTTCCAAAACTACAAACTGATATAGTCTTTCTTGGAATACAAATAGTTATTTCAAACAATCTCTGCTGCTTGGCAGTAAACACTGGATTTCTGCTCCTTTCCTGATGGCTTCCTCTCCTGGCTATTACATGTCCTGGTTAGATCTTAAAATGGTTCTGCATAAGTTATCCATCTTTTGTAAAATCTTAGGAGTACCTAGGTAATATTGTCTTCTGTTTGTTAATAGTATTTTGTTTTTTTCACCGTACCGCCCCATTCTTTTTCTTTTCTGTTTTCTACACACCAAAGAACTCCATTATGGAGAGAGAGAAATAAAATTAACATATATTGATATTTGATCCACTGATTGCCCAATGAGCAGGAGGCAGTAGAACAAAAGGGTAGGAAAAGTAGCAGCTGACTTTAGCTCTGCTACATGGGACATAGAAGGCAAAATGACTATTCTTAAATATTTGACTTTTGTGTCAAATATTTAACCATTCCATATCAAAAACTGCATTTGAGAAACTTTCTTCGGACAAAACCTTTCCTTGGTCCATATTAAATCAAAGATATCATTTCTTTGATTTCAAAAGAAATTTGCTATATACTGACTTCCGGTTTGCCATCGCAGCCGCCACGGCCACTGGAAGGCAAGCTCCATCTTCCATGTTCGATTTCGCACTGCTGGGGGACCCTGGAAAGCATCGAAAGTCGCCTTGTAGGGGTGACAAGCAACGAGGAGATCCCCGCTTGATTTCGAGGGGGCAGTAGCCCTTCTGCTTGATCTGGGGCAGCCCTCCAAACCGGTGGATGAAAGACCGGCCATAGAAATATGGCCCATCACTAGGCTGCAGATAGCCAAAGTCAAACTTACCACCAGGCACTTCTAAAGCAGCACAGATGAGACTGGGTGAGATCTGAACCTCTCTTCAATCCTCACTATCTTTTTTACCTGTATAAGCTGCCCAAAGTATTTCCCTCCCCTGTATCCAGGGGAGTTTAAAACATTGAAAGAATAACCTTATTTTAACTGGATTTATATGTTTCTAAAATTTGGGGACCAAAAGATTTCTTATCCCTATTGAAGATTTGGGTTTTTATTACAAAAAAGAAGTAAAATTGGAAAAAGAACTATAAAAATTTTGGACTTAAAAAACCTTAAACGGCACTGGTGACATCTTGTGGCTAAATCTGACACTACAACCTGTTATTGTCTAAAAGAGACTTGGCTTGAAGCCCAGACTACAGATAAGACTCCTTTAACCTTGGCAGATATCCCCTGACTATAAAGCTTTTAATTTAATATACCACTAAGAGAATATGGATGAAGATCAGAAACAGATTCTTTCTATGTTGAAAGCAATTCATGAAACTATTCTTACAGCTTCTGATGAAATAAGACGCTATAGAAAAGATGTCAGCCTAGATATTCAAACCTTAACTTTGACTACAATTAAAGAATCAATTACGCAGAACACAATAGAAGAAGTAGAACAATCAAACACTATGATAGAGGATTCAATGGACCAACAAACACAGTTAATGGAAAACCCACAAAAGGGACTGATAATACTGAAAATGGAAAAGACTTTCTATATAAACCAGAAGAAATCTGAGGAGCAAGAAGAAGAACAGACTGAAAGGAAGATAAACATTCCAGGACAATTATGGGGAGATAGAATAATAGAGAGACAATTTGTTAGTCCTTCCAAAAGAATGGTGATTGGATGGTCTCGTTTATTTCAAATAATAAATACAATAACAGAGGGAAATCTATTTGATGATTTAAAAGCACGGACATGGAAGGTGAGTTGACAAAGAAAGAAAGCTAGATAAGGCTGAAGAAAATTGGGGTTTGGATTTTTTAGTGAGATGTTATGTTATTAATTAAAATAGAATATATTCAAACAGACAAGATGTGTACTTTGAATACTAGATTATGTTATGAATTGAGAAAAAAAAACTTTGGTCATTTAAAACTTGGAAGTATAAATATCAAAAGTTAAATCTGAATATTGATGGGAAATTAAAAATTGGGGAAAAACAAATAAATAGAATATTGATTGTCTATAAAGATTGAATGTAAAAGAAATTAAGATATATATAAGCTAAAAATGATAAATATAATAAACATGTCTTTACGTAGTTGATAAAATAAAGAATTGTATTAGTTTAAATATGAGATAGTAGATATTAAGAGAAAAAGAGAGGATGTATTTGAAGTTGAAATAAGGGAAATTTTGGTCATTAAATTTAAGATATTTGGAAATTAGTAGAAAATAAGAATGTTATACTGTATTATCAACTAGATGATGTAAGATGGTGAGAAATAGAATATATTCAAATAGATAGGATATGTATCTTGAACATTAGGTTTTGTGATGAATTGTGGTAAAGGAAACTTTGGTTACCTAAAACTTGGAAATTATAAATATTACATGTTAAATTTAAATGTTGATGGGAAACTAAAAATTGGGAAAAATTAATTACAGGATATTGATTGTCTATAAAGATTGAATGTTAAAGCAAATTAGGATATGTATAAGCTAAAAACTATTGATAAATGTAACAATGTTATTTTTACTTAATTGATATAATAAGAATTGTATTAGTTTAAACATGAGACAGTAAATACTAAGGGAAAAAGAGGAAATATTTAACGTGGTAGTTTGAGATTTGTACTCACTTGTATGTTATTGAATTATTGATTAACCCAGCCACCATGTTGCTTTTTAAATACTTAAATGTAAAACTAGAAAATCAATAAAACTTTTTTTAAAGAAATTTGCTATATATTATAAGTAGTTACTGTTTAAGAAATTTGATTAAAACATTTTGACTTAAGTGGCATGGAATGAGGAAGATCAAGACAGAGAGAGAAACAAAAAAAGGACAGACATAAAAGCAAACCTCTTTTGTTTATCAACTGTTTCCCTTGGCCTTGCCAGAGTCAGGATTCTTGGGCTGGGTTGTCTCAGCAAAGTTCTTGAGGAGAGGGGCCATATTGGCTCTTGATTTCCCCAGATTAACTTGCTATTATGAATACAAAATGCAAGAACCAGTCAAAATGAGTATACAACCACATACCCTAGTAATATATAAATAATATTATATTATATTTATTATATGAGAACCAGTTTGGTGTGGTGGTTAAGGCATTAGGCTAGAAACCAAGAAAGTGTGAGTTCTAATCTTGTGCCTTAGGCACAAAGCCAGTTGGGTGACCTTGGGGCAGTAACCTTCTTTCAGCCTTAGGAAGGAGGCAATGGCAAGCGTTTTTGAAAAATTTTGCCAAGAAAAGGCGTTCCTCAAGATCTTAATGAATTAACACTTGTTGTGAAGGCACCAGACTAGAAACTGGGAGATTGTGAATTCCAGTTCCACCTTAGATCTGAAAGCCACCTGAGTGACTTTGGACCACTCACTCTCTCGTCCCAATTCATCTCATAGGAATGTTGCTATGGTCAAAATACTGTAGGAGTATTAGATGTGTTTGCAACTTTGAGTTATTTATAAAAATAATAAAGGCAAGATTAAAATTAATAAATCAGGCACTACTGAACCAAATAAAAACATTTGTTATACAGCATAAGATCTATGCTTGACCCCACAATATTAAAAATATTGATTTTTAGATTGTGTTTATTCTATCTAAACATAGTAACCATTACCCTTCAAAATATCTGTAAATTAAAACTATTTGGGCAGAGAATATGTCAACATTTACAATTATGAGATTGAGAAAAAAACAGACAAAAATATTATTTTAAGGCAGAAACAGAAATCTGGCCTCAAGGCAAAATTCCCCACAAAACAAGCCTGGCTGGGGAATTCTGGAAGTTAAAATCCACACATCTTTAAATTGCCAAAGTTGAAAATGACTGCAATAAATGCTACCTCAGCAACAGAGACTCATAAATTAGATGTTAAATTCTGACTGGACTTCACAAGAGCAGACCTGTAACTGTCGTTGCCATCATACAAAATGAAAAGGGCTATAGTACAGGAAGAACAACAGTTGCCAATAGCACTGTATGATTCATCTCCACATACTAATAAACTAAACAGTTCTTGGTACAATATATATATATACAGGAATAAACTACCTGAACTGATCTTGAAGAGGTATTAAAAAGGGTGGAGTTTCACTAAGTTAAATTTTAATATACCGAAACTATAATTTTATTTTTTATATACTAAAAGAAGCCATTGCAAGCTGGTAGGGGTCTTGAAACAGGTGTGTCAGCAGAAAGATTAATGTGTCTTACACTCTGCACTGGTAGATAGCCAGAAAAAGTAGCTACTAACCAGTTTTCTACTGGTAATCAGTATTATTAGTGCAAATAGCCTTTTGTAGCTAAAAAGTTAAATCAGAGGGAGGAAGTAAGTCAACTGAATAAAGTATCTGAATTGTTCTGTATAGTACTGTACTTGCTAAAGAAGGGTTAGGCAAGTTGGTAACTATAGTCACCCAGGTGCTCTGGTATATTCTTTTGATACCTACCAAGCTCTCTACTTTATATGTCTGTATATGTATGTTTAGATTCTTTTAATTAAAGCAAAACATAGTGCAAGCATGCTGCAGAATCAAGCCCCAATCTCTAGTACCATCTGAACTCCATATTCAATCTTGGCAACTTTAAGATGTGTGAATTTCAACTCTCAGAATTCCCAGCTAAGGAATTCTGGGAGTTGAAGTCCACACATCTTAATTTGTCAAGTTTTAAAAACACTGATATAAAGTCTAAAGTCACTTTTAGAAAATGGTAATAATGAATAATAGAGCCCAATGCTTTCTTTTCAAGTGTATTTTGAAAAAAGGATAGAAGTAAATTGGGGTACTAAGAAGTAACTTGGGGAGTTAAGAAGCATGACAAACAAGCAGCAACCTTATTGGTTTGATTGCAAATGAATGGGGCTTTCTGTCAAGGCCTCATCTACCCTGTGAATAGGCAAGACCCTATGACATCCACTTCATTAATGTACTTACAACATACGCTGGAAAATGTCAAATGTTCTGATCGCTTACCTAAAACACACTCTAAAGACCACAGGTTGTCCATAATTTAGGACCACAATTGGACCAGAATTTCCGTTGCTAAGCAATGCAGTTGTTAAATGCCTCATGCCCAATTTTACAGCCTTTTTTTTGCCATCGTTGTTAAATTAATCACTGCAGTTGTTAAGCAAACAATCATGAAGTCATTAAGCGAATCCATCTTTCCTTAATGACATTTCTGACCATTTTCTTTTAATGGTGATCACATGACCCCAGGATGCTGCAACCATCACAAACACATGCTGGTTGCCAAACAGCCAAATTTTGATCAGGTGAGCATGGGAATGTTGCGGTACTGGTAGTCGTAAATGTGAGGACCAGTTACAAGTCAGTTTTTTCAGTGCCATTGTTACTTTGATTAGTTGCTAAACAGATGGTTGTAATCTGTCATGTATATCTGTATCTATACCTTGATATCTAACTCACCGATGAAAATTCCATACATCTTTGGTTGGCTTTGGTTTTGCAAGCTCCTGTAACCTGGAAAATACAAATTTTAAAACATTACTTGGTGACCAAGTGGAAGGTCAATTCTCTAAAATTTGACAAACCTTCGCAGTTCCATTGAGCAGCTTCCAACTATACATTGCATCTAATTACATCAAGTGCAAAGGCCAAAGCTACATCCCTCCAGATCTTTAACTTCCATTACTACTGATCTCTGGGAGCACCGAGAAATGCATATTTGACAAGGACATTATGCATTATTATTGCAAGGTCATTTGAAATAAAAACCCAGGTAATACATTTAGCTGATTACATTTAATCTCCAATTGTATTCTACCATGTATGAAACTTGCTTTTAGGCAAAAGCTTCATTGAGAGGCACTGATGCATTGGGGTGGTAGGCCTTCAGTTCAGGCTGAGACTTGTTCAAGGACAAACATTCTTTGCCAGCCAAACACCACCCTCAAGTTCATAATGATGTTTTCTTAACAGAGAGGAGCTTGAGAAAAACTACCATGGAAGGAGGAAGAATCTTTCTCCCAGGCAGTGATAGAAACTGTGAAAGAGACAGAAAGTTCTTCCTCCTTCAACCATTAGCAGCATAGGCAATAAATTAAGGCAAGTGATGGCTAGTCGCTAAGGATGTCTCTCTGTTGACATAACAGCACAGAGATATGCAGCTGTGTCAGAAGAATTTATCTCAGGTTTAGCAAAGCTTGTATTTCCAGACTGTATATTAAATAGAGTGTACAATGCAGAACACCTCCAGTGCATGAAGGAATGGGATTTTTTGCTCACAATTAGGGCTCATTTGGACACCTACATTCTATCCTGGAGTCAACATTATACTGTAGTGACGTCAATGTACTTTGCCCAGGAGGACTGTTATTATCATTTGACTATGAGCCAGCAGTGTGCAGCAGTAGCCAAAAAAGCTAATACAATCCTGGGTTGTATAAACAGAGGCATACAATCAAGATCACGCGAAATATTAGTACTGCTTTATAAAACCCTAGTGAGACCACACCTGGAATACTGCAACCAATTTTGGTCACCATACTACAAAAAAGATATCGAGACCTGGGAAACAGTTCAGAGAAGAGCAACTAAAAGGATCCAAGGCCTGGAGACTAAAACCTATGAAGAAGGGCTGAAGGACTTGGGATTGGCTAGTGCTAGTCTAAAGAAAAGAAGGAACAGGGGAGATATGATAGCAATATTCCAGTATTTGAGAGGTTGCCACAAAGAAGAGGGAGTCAAATTATTCTCCAAAGCACCAGAGGGCAGGACAAGAAGCAATGGATGGAAACTAATCAAGGAGAGAAGCAACCTAGAACTAAGAAGAAACTTCCTGACAGTTAGAACAATTAACCAATGGAACAACCTGCCTCCAGAAGTTTTGAATGCTCCAACACTGGAAGTTTTTAAGAAGAGATTGGACAACCATTTGTCTGAAATGGTATAGGGTTTCCTGCCTGAACAGGGGGTTGAAGACCTCCAAAGATCCCTTCCAACTCTGTTATTCTATATTCTATTGACCACCAAGTTAGATGGCTTTCATTGTACATCTTCTTTAGGGCACCAGACAAGGTTGGAAACTGACCAAAGAGAGAAGCAACCTGGAATTAAGGAGAAAGTTCCTAACAGTGAGGACAATTAAACAGTGGAACAGCTTGCCCCCAGAAATTGTGGGCGCTCCATCACTGGAGGTTTTCAAGAAGAGACTGGACAGTCACTTGTCTGAGATGGTACAGGTTCTCCTGCTTGAGCGGGGGGCTGGACTCTAAGACCTCCAAGGTCCCTTCCAGCTCTATTCTATTCTAAAATTCTAGATGGAATGGGACAACTTGCCTCAGCCAACTTGCTGTGGTCAACTCACCATGACCAACTACCACAGCCAATTTGCTGTGGCCCACTTGCTGCAGGACAACTCATCACGGTCAACTCGTAAGATAACTTGCTGTGGGACAATTTAACAATTATATTTAATTATTTAAAAAAAATATTTTTTTTAAAAAAATTTGCAGTTCACATTTCATTTGGTCCCTCCTTTTGCATCCTTTCTTTAATGAATCTATTCCACTATTTCTTTCATATCAGTGTAACTCTTGTCCTGCAGCAAGTTAGCTATGACAAGTTGTCCTGCAGTGAATTGGCAATGGCAAGTTGGCTGTGGCAAGTTGTCATAGCCCCGTTATTACACTCAAGCTAAAAGGCTAATCCTGCATTATTGCAGTCTTACAAATTTTAATTTGGGATAGTTTCAAATCAGCTACTGGTGGGTTCCCTGTTGCCCTTTTTTCTCCCACCCAGCATCACATCTAGGTGGGAAAAATAACCAACAGTTGTTGTACAAAATGTGTGGTGGGACAGAATTTAGGGGCCTCTGGGTACCACCTCCCAGAGTGTTCAGTTAATTTTTAATTTTTCTCCCCAAACACATAGCCATTTCCTTTGCAATCAACTATCCTATGTAGAGAAGAAAAAAGGCAGGATCCAAAAATGTAACTATTGTTCACCACTCAAGGGCAGTTCCACCCACTAAACCGGCTAGAGTAAAATACTAAACTAGAATGACCATTGTCTAAACCTAGATAAACTAGAAAAACCTTCTAGTTTTCTTATATGCAGCAATTCAACTGTAATCACCTAAGCAATTAAGGTTAAGTCTAAGTCTAAATTTATATCAAACAGGTACTGTCAACATTCTGACACTCCCTTTGCTTTGACTAATACTGTGAAACCTTCCTTATACAAATTATATGGCTGTTATATCCCAAACGATTAATATTAAAATGGATAGTATTTCTTTGTCCCTGACTCTTCTTTGCAATCTTCCTGTCTCATGCACATAAAGGAGAGGTAAATATGGATAAGCTGACAATGAAGAAGAACATCAGCAGCTCTCTCCAGTTCTGCTTCTGCTACAATAGCTGACATGCATAATTAAGACTGATTGACATCTATGAGCATTGTGTTGAGGAAGAAAAAATTGTGAAGTCATCATCAACCTCCTTAGCCCATATAAATGTCATCACTTTATATATTAGGGGTAATTTATTTATTTATTTATTTATGAGACTTATATACCGCTTTAAGTGCAAGCACTCTCTAAGCAGTGTACACCAGTAAGCAATGTATGTATATATTTACATTGCCCCCAACAATCTGGGTCCTCATTTTACCTACCCGGAAGGATGGAAGGCTGAGTCAACCTTGAGCCGGTGAGATTTGAACCGCTGACCTGCTGAACACAGTCAGCTAAAGTGGCCTGCAGTACTGCACTCTAACTGCTGCGCCACCTCCGCTCATAATGCATATGTTTGCTAGTATCATTATAATTTATTACTTTCCTCATTTTTAATTTATTTTCAGAGAATCAAGATAGTCTGCAGGCCAGCTACTGCAGAAAGATGGCAAATAATTATGACATCGTGCACACTGGAAGACTCACTGGTTATCAGATAAGATAAGATAAATGCATTCAGTTTTTTTCTCACAATTGATCAGGGGGAAAGACAAAATAATCCCCCCCCCTTTCTGGAATCCCTTCACATCTTCAAACGCACTTCTACAGACTTTCTGAACCAAATATTGGGGAGGAGATCAGAAAAAGAGAGGCGTGTCCTGTTTTGTAAACTGAAGTCTGAATGTGTGACTTCGGATATCACTCTGCAATTCCTGAATGTATTTAAGTAACTACTCAAGAGATGGGAGCTTGATGGTTTTGTCTTACCTTTCATTTGAATAAAATCCATAGGAAGTAGCTGCAAAAGAAGCAGAAAGGAACAAATGGATCTGAAAATGTCCACATTCCATGATTAATTATATATTGTAAGTAATTCAGTAATGTTTGGGAGTGGGAAATAAATCAGCAAGATAGCATGTGGAGTCCCATAATACAATCCGCGCCCCTCTTCTACCTCTGTATGATGTTGCCAAAATGGCCACCAGGAACTGCAGTCCTAGCAATGAAAATTCCTATTGATAAAGTGCTAATAGGGCTCATAAGAACGCCAGGAATTGCAGCAAAAAATGTGGCTTTGCTTAACTATAGAGTCTTATAAATGTTTAGAACTTAATCAGCATGGAACTTCTGAGTTTTTTGAGGTCCAAAGGGCACAACTAGGTCTGCTTACATTAAACATCCAAGAGATACATAGCAACCTGAATGCTAATATATTCTTGCATAAGCCATCGTAACTAATATTATCACTTGCTTTTAAGGTATCAAAAAGACTTTTGTTTTGTGCTGCAAATACTAGCATGATTCCCATATTCAGCACCTTAAACAGGATATGTTCTATAATTTATAATGAAAAAAAAGAGTATATTATCCTCTATGGCAGTGGTTTCCAATCTTTTCTATGGCCCACACCCTTAGGAAATGTTTGCTAATGTTCGCACCCTGTACAAAAATAATTGTGACTCATGACTCATCACAAAGGAACACAAGCCACTCTTTGTTGTATGCCCTGAAATTCTATCCTGCACACCCTGGGAGTGGAGCACCCCAGATTGGGAATCCCTGCTCTATGGATTCATATATATATATATGGCTCTGAGAAATGCCAGCAATCTGTTCCATATAATACGCCCTTTGTACAACTTTTCTGGCATGGTTAATAGTTTGATAATTTATTTGTTGGGCTGTCTACATGATTGTATTTATTTGTAACACTAATAATAATTAGTGTAATAATTGAAATATAATAATAATCCCAAAATATCTGGCGCATCACTTAAGCATCATTAGCATTGACAAAATCAGAATCAGTCAATTGCAAAAGGCAGCTTTACTTAGAACAATGAACATCCTGAGATGATACCATTAACACCATCAAATAACCACATCTGCCTGTTCCAGGACCTTAGAAAGGACTTGGTCTCTGGATAAAAATGCCAAATCCAATCTAAACTATAGTAATATATTCTGGGATGTTAGGAATTAGGATTATCTTAAACTTTCAGGTATCTCACATAATGCTAAAATAAGGGTTTTGCTCAACGAATGATGTAGTTTTCTTCCGGTTTTTACTGTTTTTGTTCTAATAATTTTGTAATGAACTGGAGTTCACAAAACCTTATGCCTTTTAATAAAATTTGTTAAGTCAGAAAGGGTGCTATCAATCTCTGAGTTTTTGGCTACCATAAAACTATTTTCCTACATTGTTTCTGAAATGTGAAGCCCAATAAATTCATTTTCTAAAAGATTTTCTGGATGGCTGCCCCACAAGGGGATGGGGAGGTAACTATTTTATTTAGTTAATTATCAGTTGGGGGGTTAAGTGGCAAGGTCAGTTCCACTGAAATATAAATTCTAGCTATCACAGCAATAAAAAAATTAAATAGTACATGGGTATGAATAAAAGAAGTAAAAAGACTAGCTGTTATCTCTAGATTTCAGAAGACAAGGCTTGTTGCAACTTAGAACTAAGGAGAAACTTCCTGACAGTTAGAACAATTAACCAATGGAACAACCTGCCTCCAGAAGCAGTGAATGCTCCAACACTGGAAGTTTTTAAGAAGAGACTGGACAGCCATTTGTCTGAAATGGTGTAGGGTTCCTGCCTGAGCAGGGGGTTGGACTCGATGATCTCCAAGGTCCCTTCCAACATTATTATTATTATCGATCATCGCACAGTCAGCCAGATGTTCAGACTGGATTTGGCATTTTGTCTACCTATCGAGTCCTTACCCAGGACCTGGGATAGGCAATGTGGATGTTTGATGGTATTACAGATATCGTCGCAGGATGGAAGCAGTTCCTAATAAGGCCGCCTTTTGCAATTGACTAATAGCGAATTTGTCAATGCCAATGGTGTTCAAGTGGTGCTCCAGTGTTTTGGGATTGCACCTAAGGAGCCTATTACTATTGGTACTACCCTTGCTTGCTTTTGCCACAGTCTTTCTATTTCTATTTGTAGGTCTTTGTATTTTGTTATCTTCTCCAGTTCTTTCTCTTCTATTCTGCTGTCTCCAAGCACTGCCACGTCCACTATCCAGACTTTTTTGTCTTTCTTATCGACAATTGTTAAGTCTGGGGTGTTATGTTGCAGGTGATTTGTCTGTTTGAATTCTGAAGTCCCAGAGCAGTTTAATTTTATCATTTTCTATGACTTTCTCTATTTTATGATCCCACCAGTTTTTGCTTACAGGCAAATGATATTTTTTGCAGATCTTCCAATGCCACATTGTTGCTACTTTGTCATGCCGCTGCTTGTAGTCAGTCTGTGCAATCTTCTTGCAACAGCTTACCAAGTGGTCCACTGTTTCTTCAGCTTCTTTGCATAGGCGGCACTTACTATCTGTTGCTGTCTTCTCAATTTTGACTTTATATGCATTTGTCCTTAAGGCTTGGTCTTGTGCAGCCAGATTAATCCCTCGGTCTCTTTCTTCAATTTTCCTGCTCTTAGCCATTGCCAGGTCTTGTTAATATCTGCTTTACCAGCTATTTTTTTTAATGTATTGGCCATGTAGTGCTTTGTCTTCCCATGCCTCTATTCTGTTCTCCATTTGGTCTTTCTTATAGGCCAGTTTGGTCTCTCCATAGTCAGTAAGACTTCCTGATATACTAATTTCAGTGCATCTTCATAATTGTTCTTCAGATATTCTTCCAAAGCCAATTTTTCTTCTTCAACCATCTGATGTACTTGTAGCATTCTACGCCCACCTATTTGCCTTGGTAGATAAAGTCTGTCAATGTCACTGCGTGGATGAAGGGCATGATTCATTGTCATTATTTTTCTGGTCTTCCTATCCACTGCTTTTAGTTCTGCTTGAGTCCAGTCCACTATTCCAGCTGGGTATCTAATGACTGGAATTGCCCAGGTGTTGATTGCCTTTATGGTATTTCCTCCATTGAGTTTGGACTTAAGATCTTCTTCACTCTCTTGATGTATTCACCTCTAATCTTTTTCTTGACTTTAATAATAATAATAATAATAATAATAATAATTATTATTATTATTATTATTATTATTATTATTATTATTATTATTATTATTATCATCACTGCTTCTGGCCTTCCTAAGTTCCCAAAGAGTAAAAAAAAATAAGTAACTGAGCATTACATGGATTGATAAGCAAATTATTAATGGAATTTTCAGAAAGTTACAAAATTGGTTTTTTTTTTAAGTACAGCATTTTAAGTGTAGCATTAAATACATTTGTTGCACCCAATTTGTAAGCAATGAGAAATGACAGCTATGCTCAAATGGTAAAATGAAAGATGATCTCCATAAAATCCACCCAGCTGTGCAAAGTGCTCCCTTGCGGTGGAATCATTACAATCTTATTGCCTTTTAAACAAAGAAAAAAAATTGAACGATCCCTCCTCCTGCGAGAGGGATCTATTTAGTCAGGAGAATGATTATAACTTGCCCTTCAAGCCCTTTTTTCTTAAATCAAGTCAAAAATAGTATCTTTGCTTTCCCCTCCTGCGGAAATCCATTCTGTGCATTAACTGGATCTCATTCTGCGAGGTGTCATAATTGCAATGCACAATAGAGGGCAGGTTCTACCCGGAAAGACGGCGGCACTTTAGTTTAGACGACGTTCCCTTTACTGACCCGATCGTGGCTCGACCATCCTGCGCGAGAATACTTCTGCTTCCCCGACTTCACGCCGCAGCTTGCAATTGTAGAAAAGCGGGTGCTCGGGAGCGCACCTTGCGTTCTTCTTTGTTTCCGTCGCCACGGCAACCTGGAGACTCACTGCTCGCTCCATTTGTTTCTCTTTCTCTGAACTTACTTTCTGTGCCGCGGGAGGGCGCGTAAGATCTGCAGGTATTATTCTCAACAGTGCAAACAGTCCAGTCACTTTGGCTGGGCCTTCGATTTAATTGCAAGAGATTCCATGCAACTATTCACACTGCTTTCCTTCCCTTTGTTACTATATCTAACATGAATATTCACTGTCTGTTTTCGGTGCTCTAAGACTGTTTTTCTAAACCTCAGCAGCTTTAAGCTATATGGACTTCAACTCTCAGAATTCCTCAGTCAATATGCAACCTGGGGAATTCTAGGAGTTGAAATTCACATGACTTAAAAGTTGCTGGGATTGAGAAACACTGCTCTAAAAAACTGAAAACCAAGAAAAGGACATCAAACATTTCTATCACTTTCTTGAGAATGCATTTGTCTTAGTAAAATAAGCGATAATTGCAAGGAACATGGTACGATACGTTTATGTCAGTAAAATGCACAGTTAAAGAAAAAAATATTCTGGTTTAATAAAAAAAGAAAATTTTAATATTCCAGCAGAAAACATTTCTAGAAAAGTTTGGTACAGTTTTTATTCTTACAAAAAAAAATTGAAAATTTTTAAAAACTTTGTTTTAAAAGCAAAACCAACATTTGTTACATTTTCTTGCCAATGTCAATATAACCTGGCCCTACTACTACCACCAAATATTTCTTAAAGGAGAAAGAATTTTATTGCATTGATGAAAGTACCTCTGTACTGAAAATTGCAACAATACTGAGTGGGATTAGATCACAGGAGCTACCAAGCTTCTCCAGATAAAGCCATCAAAAGTTATGAAAAATATCACATAGTGAATGAGAGCATAACCTTCCAACACCTTCCTCCATTGTTAACATTTAACAGGAAACCTTTCCCAGCAATTGTCCTTACCCCCAATTCATAGGGCCACACTTTTACACTGAAAAATCCAGGCTTGTGGTCTTACACAGAAAACTGGATGGAGGAACTGTTTTAAAACATTACCACTCTATTTTAAAAGATGACAACCCATTTTTGAAGATTACGTTTTGATCTCTTGGATCATTCTGACTAATGCTTTAAAAGTGACAGCTTGGTTATGTGAAAATCGGCAAACAAAAGTGCTTATGGAGGCTTTTGGTATCGCATCTGAATTGGCTGAGAACTTTTAAGTACAAAGCCAGATTCATCTTTTCATGAACAGCTTTGGCCGCAACTTTTCTGAATGTAAATAAATATTACACAATAAAAACAAGACATATAATGTAAGAAAAATAAAGTCACTATTCCAATGTTATGTGGGGTACTTAAACTTTTCAAAATACTCAGAATTCTTCAAGGAATTTATATTAAGACTTATAGTATTATTAAATGACTAATCAGTGTAACAAACAGAAGTACAAAGCCATGAGATAGCATGACAAATAAATTATATAATACAATATAATTGGAGATGAAAGCCATATGAGCTATCTAAAATATATCAACCAGCTAAGCCTAAAATCAAATCAAAGTTGTTAATATTTTCACAAAACTAAAATGTCACCAATATGAGTTTATAGCTTGTGGAACCAAGTTATATTTGTTACAAATGGAACAAAGTGGCATAATTGGCAGTCTAATGGATGTTTAAGGTGCTTCCTGCTTAACAACCACTCATTTAGCAACCATTTTTAATAGTAGTAAAGTTGGAAGGGACCTTGGAGGTCATCTAGTCCAACCCCCTGCTCGGGCAGGAAACCCTACGCTATTTCGGACAAATGGCTGTCCAGTCTCTTCTTAAAAACTTCCAGTGTTGGAGCATTTACTGCTTCTGGAGGCAAGCTGTTCCACTGATTAATTGTTCTCACTGTCAGGAAGTTTCTCCTTAGTTCTAGGTTGCTTCTCTCCTTGATTAGTTTCCACCCGTTGCTTCTTGTCCTGCCTTCAGGTGCTTTGGAAAATAGCTTAATTCCCTCTTCTTTATGGCAGCCCCTGAGATATTGGAATACTGCTATCATGTCCCCCCTTGTCCTTCTCTTCGTTAAACTAGACATACCCAATTCTAGCAACCGTTCCTTATATGTTTTAGCCTCCAGTCCCCTAATCATCTTTGTTGCTCTTCTCTGTACTCTTTCTAGAGTCTCAACATCTTTTTTACATCGTGGTGACCAAAACTGGATGCAGTATTCCAAGTGTGGCCTTACCAAGGCATTGAAGAGTGGTATTAATACTTCACGTGATCTTGATTCTATCCCTCTGTTAATGCAGCCTAGCACTGTGTTGGCCTTTTTGGCAGCTGCAGCACACTGCTGGCTCATATTTAAGTGATTGTCTACTAGGACTCCGAGGTCCCTCTCACAGTTACTACTATTGAGCATGGTGCCACCTATGCTGTACTTGTGCATTTGGTTTTTCTTGCCTAAATGTAGAACCTTGCTTTTTTCACCATTGAATTTCATTTTGTTAGTTAGTGCCCAGTGTTCAAGTCTGTCCAGATCCTTCTGTATCTGAAGCCTGTCTTCTGGAGTGTTGGCTATTCCTGCCAGCTTGGTGTCATCTGCAAATTTGATGAGTTCCCCATCTATCCCTTCATCCAAATCGTTGATGAAGATGTTGAAGAGTACTGGGCCCAGAACAGAGCCCTGGGGCACCCCACTACACACTTTCCCTCCATATAGATGCAGTTCCATTGAGGACCACTCGCTGAGTACGGCCGGTCAGCCAGCTACGGATCCATCTGGTGGTGGTTCTGTCTACCCCACATTTTTCTATCTTGTCAAGTAGTAGGTTGTGATCTACTTTATCAAATGCCTTACTGAAGTCCAAGTAAATTATGTCCACAGCATTCCTCTGATCCACTAATTTTGTCACTTGGTCAAAGAATGCAATAAGATTTGTCTGGCATGATCTATTTTTGACAAACCCATGTTGGCTTTTAGTAATGACTTTGTTTGCCTCTAGGTGTTCGTTGATTCGTTGTTTGATTATCTTTTCCAGGATCTTCCCAGGTATTGAGGTCAGGCTGATAGGTCTGTAATTTCCTGGATCCATTTTTTTTCCTTTTTTGAGGATGGGAACTACATCAGCTCTTTTCCAGTCCTCTGGTAGTTCCCCTGTGTTCCAGGATCTTTGAAAAATATAGTTCAGTGGCTCCGATATCACATCTGCCAGTTCCTTGAGAACTCTGGGGTGTAATCCGTCTGGTCCTGGCGATTTGAACTCATCTAGGCTGGACAGGTGCTCACTAACGATTTTCTTGCCTATCTTAACTTGTGTTTCTGTTTTGTTTTTTGTGGCACTATTTTTGATAGGTTGGTCTGTTTTTTCCCTTTGTGTAAAGACAGATGCAAAAAATGAGTTAAATAGTTCTGCTTTCTCCCTGTTGCTTGTCACCTTCTTGCCACTTCCACCCACTAATGGACCAATCATTTCCTTCACTTTTTTCTTGTTTTTTACATGTTGAAAGAAGCTTTTTTGTTATTTTTGACTTTGGTCGCAAGCCTTAGTTCATTTTGAGCCTTGGCTTTCTTCACTTCATCTTTGCAGGCTCGGGCTATTTGCTGATATTCTGACTTAGTTATGTTCCCCTCTTTCCACTTTCTATACTTGTCCTTTTTATCTTTCAATTTGTCAGAGAGTTCTTTATGCAGCCATGCTGGTTTCTTTTGAGAGCTGTTATTTTTCCTCTTTGTTGGTATTGTGCTAGACTGTGCTTTTATTATCTCATTTTTCAAAATTTCCCAAGCTTCTTGAGTTGTTTTCCCCTTGAGGATTCTCATCCATGGAATCCTTCCCAAGCCCTCTCTAAGTTTATTGAAATTAGCTCTCTTGAAGTCCAAGACTCTAGTTTGACTGTGTTCTATTGGTTGTGCTTCTATAATGTTGAATTCTAATATTGCATGATCACTTCCTCCCAGGGTTCCTATGGCTCCAACACCGTCTATCATTTCATCTCTGTTAGTGAGAATTAGATCCAAAATGGCTAATCCCCTAGTTCCATTCTCTACTTTTTGGGAGACAAAGTTGTCTGCTAGGTTTGCCAGGAACCTGTTTGATCTTCCACTTGGTGCGGAGTTTGTCTCCCAGTTGATGTCAGGGTAGTTAAAGTCCCCCATTACTATTGTGATGTGCTTCCTACATACCTTAGTTAGCTGACTAGCAAAAAGTTCATCTATTTCCTCTGTTTGGTTGGGTGGTCTGTAGTATACACCTATGGCAATGTCATTTGAACATGTGAGACCACTGAACCACTGGTACTTTTGCCTAGTCCTGGAATTCCTACCATTGTAGCATTCCACACTCAGACCTTATTTGTTGATTTAAAAAAAAAAAAAAAAGCAGGTTGCAAATGGCAACCATGTCATATCTTTGCTTACTGACTGCAATGATTTCCTTAACCACAGCAACAGGAGTGCCAGTAATGTCTTAGTTAATCAAAGGTTAGGTTTCTATAATCCTGTATAGATTTGGTGACTATCCCAATTTATTGGTGTCAGCCAAGAACAGATTTTCACACTGTAATTAACAGAACAAAAGGTAGCTATTGAGTAATATTGGTCCAGAGCTCAGATATGAGGTGCTTATCTTGTCTATCTGGTAGAACTTTTAGCAGAGAATAAAGACAGCATGCACGCCCTAAAAACCAGTACTATAATAAAACATCTTTAACTGCCTCTTATTTCTCTTCTTCACTCTTATTTGCTTTCAGCCTAATAATCTCCCTCTTGCCCCTTCAAATGGTGCCGGTATCAGGTATAAGCAAAGAAGCGGTATGCTGGGGAGATTCAGGGTGCTTGGCTAATGACTGAAAAGGAGCATGTAAAAGGATGGAGGAATTAAGTAATTGCTGCTGCTATCCTGTACATTTAAAAAATAGTTTTTTGCAACTTGGCCATTATCCTGAATCTCTCATCACAATTCTTGACTACCAATTATGACTAGGCAGCCATTGATATAAAATGCCAGTATCTAGCATTTTCCATGTCTTTCTTAGAAAGCCAAGCCAAGCAATCAGTCTGAAACTTTAAATGCAAGAGGAATCATATGAATAATTTGCATAAAAATTCTATTGAGTTTTTATCAGCTAATAAATTGCACTAATTTAGCTATCCACATATCCAGAAATAAAGTAACAGATCAAATTTTGCAGTGATTCTTCCTTATTCCTTTCATTGAAACAAATGTGACTATTTTTGCCTCTTCCTATCTTCTTAATACAAATAAGATTCTTATTATTATTAAAATCTTAGTTGAAGTCCACGGGTCATAAACTCTCACTAAGGAATTATAGTCTTTCTTCTGCAAGACCTAACCACTACAGAAGTTGCCAAGTTTCTTGAAATAGTTATGGATGATAACTGGTGATTCCTCTTCAATGTTACCTCAAGGGTTTTGTTTTTCATTCTGTATTTTAAATTTTGAATTTTATTGGTGTATTTTCAGTTCTGTTTTTGCTTTGTCTGAAGTTCTGTGGTTGCTAAGAATGTAAATCATGTGACCATGGGATGCTACAACAATCATTAAGTGTGAAAAATGATCATATAGTCCCCCTTTTTCAGTACCGTTGTAACTTCAAATAGTCACTAAATGAACTGTTGTAAGTCGAGGACTACCTGTGCCAGAAATATTTCATGATAGGGAGAATCATTGCTGAATTGAGCACTTCTGTAAGCTGGGTTAGTATAGCCTTGGTTCGAACACAATTCTTACAAACCAAGGATTGGACTGTTTATTTGAACAATGGATTGGAGTTTGATTTGACAGTTCTGAGGTAAATCAGTCACTTTTTTGAACAGTGGCAAAAATTTTAGAAGTACCCTTGATTATACCAACGATTTGTTTCAAACAGTTGACCTATGATTTAAGAAATTGGGTTGCTTAAAAAGAATTTCAGGATTCCTCTCCACTTTTAAAATTTATGGAGAATTCCAAAACAGCTGTTATTTGCACAGGTTACATTCATCAGCATTTACTGTATTAAAAATTAAAATGGATATGTGCTGCTGTTACTGCCTCACTTCATTTGATGTATTTTAACATCAAATGAAGTTTTGTTTTTATATTGTTTTTCACCATAAGCTGGTACATAATTTTGATTTTGCAGACTCCTGAAAGGATCACACTGAGAAGCACTGTACTAGCCTCTTATTGGCTGGTATCTATCAGATGAGGGACAAAGCAGATGGGGGCAAGATTGAGGGGAAGTTGTCCTCATTCTGTAGACTCAAAGAAAAGGAGTCTATTAATGGTAAGTGATCACTTTCAAGATGGAAGCTAATACTAAAATTTAAACAGTAAAGGACTGGATCTTCAGAAATCGGCATGTACTTTACAATAGAAGTCACTCTGGAGCCCCAAAAGGTGACTTTACCCTGTCACAAAGACCTTCAGGGCAAATTTTACCAATTGAAGCAAACTCCACTCTACCCATTCTCCTATCAATTCTCACTCATTCTCTATATTAATGCTCTTATGTTTAGATTTCCAATGAACCAACCCAATTAGACAGAAGCCTGGGATGTTAAAATGCTGGAGCAGAGCCTCATCACTGGCTCCTATGCTACCATTAAAATCTACTATTATTAATACTGGCCTTAGCGATTTGGGCATTTGATTGAAAAGCCAGTTTTGAAGGTCTCAATGCTTGATTTGAGAGATACGACTTTGAGGGATTAAACAGTAAATAAACATTAGTGAGGAAATTGGTAGAACCAAATGCTAACTGAACACACATTAAAGCTGGTGAAATGTGAGTATGCAGTTTACTGGAGATTAAGATGCTTATATCTCATAGATTTTCTCTAAGATATTTTCTGTCCCTAACATTTAGACCACCACTTCTATAATCAAGTCCCTCATCATTGCTGCCAATTATCCTCTTCTTTTTTCTTCAACATTTCCCAGCATTATAGACTTTTCAATGGTCCATCTTATGTTTAAAATATAATTTGAACTTGGTCATTTGTGCCTCAAGTGAGAGCTGTAGATTTTTTCTGTAATCCATTAGTTTGTTTTCTCGTCTAATCATGATATTTTCAGAGGTCTCCTTGAACATCAAAGCTCCAAAGTTATCAATACTATATCCTATTTCTTTTAATTCCAGGATGGAATTCTGCAATACTGTTAATGAACAAAACTGAGATAATACTAAGAAAACTGTGGAGTAGTTCTGCATAACTATTCTTTCTTGGAGTGTCCCAAGGAAAGATCAGGAATAAGTATACTTCTATATATGTTTTCCATTAAATTTTTCCCCAAGTAAGAAAATAATTTATAACCCATACAGATATTTGAACATGAAATCTCTAGTCCCTAAAATACTCATATGGTATAATCTTTTCTCTATGCCTTGAATATAAGAGAAAATCAGTATTTAGCTGGGCTAACAACTTTGGCCTCCTCTGAAGTGCTACTTTTTTTAAAAAAAGGAAAGCTGGCACAGAAATATACATTTAAATTGAAGGAGTGATTAAACATGGAACAACCTTCTAGAAAAAGAAATAGGTTTCAGAGAAATACATATTATATGTAGAAATGTTGGGCTCTCAGGAGAGTACTGGCCTTCTTTTTTCTAAAGCACTTCTAAACAAAAAAAATATCATTTCTTTCAGTTTCAAAACCATTTTCATAGCAATTCTATATCTAGGGTTTGATGCCACCAAGATCTGAAGAGACGCTATTCATAGTTGCTACTGCATGTCCTATTGTGGCGTTCCATTCCACCTCATTATCACAGAGTTTCTGACATCAGCTGTGCAATCAGTTCCCGGGTATCTTTCAAGCCGGAAGAGATCTCTAAGCCTTCCTTTGCCACATGTGTACCAATCAGAAATATCTTCCTTTCGTCTCCAATTTCAGATAAAGCCAAAGCGTCATGAATGTCTGTGATACAATGTGCGCCTTCAAGATCCTGTCCGACAAAAGAAAGAAACATATTTATCTATTCAGTTTGGCTTTTTCAAAGCAGGGTTGCAATAATCTCTCTCACAGATCTGTCAAAACACCTAGTAATACTGTGAAGAAACAATATTCCTAGGGGCAAAGAATTGTTTTATTATACAAGCTTTTCATGGGATGGGCCCTTCACACCATATATAAGTAAACTAAATTAAAATATAGGCATTCAAGAAAGACCAAATTTACTGATGACATTTGGGCTACTCATGCTGTCATGTCCCAGCAGCAGCATTGCACTGGGGGACATCTGTAGGACTGTGGTAGATGCATAAGAAATCTAACAAATCTGAAGGAAGGCTGCTCCAAATCTTAGCTATTATATTTGTTTCCTATTTAGATACAGATGCAATATGGAAACAGTTGTCTTCTTCCATTATTTCTTTTCAATCTACTTGCTGCTTTGTAATTTCTTGAGAGTGTCTCATCCAAGTTTTAACCAGATCTGACTCTGTTTAACTTTCCCATATAATGTTCCTTACATGGAATCTTTTCAGAATGGAACCTTCCCCATTGCTTTTTTTTTTTTCACTGAACTTGTAAAAGACAGTACATAGTGAAATATTTCTCAGGGTGATATTCAAATTTATTAGGTTTATCCCTGAATGAATAAAAATCAGGAAGACTATGGTAGCACCTTTTCTCTCTCAGCCCTACAAAGGAAGTAATAGCAAACTAGTTCCAAAAGATTTGCAAAAAAAACCCCTGCAAAGACTAATTTAGGCAATAATCAGCAATTAACAGTGATTGAAAGTGTGTGTCCATACACATACACAAGATTAAAAACCCATTGTGTTTGTTAATATTCTCTGAGATATGGATATGAATTCAACAATCTCTTGCTGTATGATGCTAGAGAAATTTGATAGCTCTAAGATAGCAATTTTAAATTCTGTAATTGAATATCCTAACGGATTAAAATGCTGCAATATTACTTTGTCCTCTGTTGAACAGTATGAGATCGTTTCAGTTACTTATTCTATCTGTTCTATCTCTGAAGTCTGGAGCAAGTGACCCCATCTTCAAAGGGCTTGTGCTTAATGCAATCCCTTTTTTTGTGCACAATGGAACCTTTTGACAACTTAGCTTACACCTGCATCTTAACTAGTCCTATACAGATTTTTGTTGTGTGAAAAGATAAAAGCAATAAGCAAGCCTTGTGGTAAAGAAAAGTTATCTGCCTGGATCTTTTCAGTTTCAAGTTCTAAGTTCACAGTTCTTACTTGTAAGACAAAAGACAAAAAGGCAGTCCTTTTTTGCTGCACCCCCTCCCAACCCAGAGGCTAAGAAACTAAACCCCAAATGAGATTCAAGCAAAATTCTTATACATTAATCTTCTAAGGACAGCATAAGACTTTTGGCACGTGATAGGTGACTTGCTTCAAGTTTCATTGTTTTTGTTATTGTTTTGATAACATGATTTACTGATTAGCAACTATCTTAAAAGAGAGAATAAGTAAGTAGATTGCACCAAAATAATAGAGATTATGAGGAGATGGATGGATCCCCTTCCTATCTGCAGCAATAATACAACAGAGCGACAGTAGGCGATTTCTGCTCAGCATTTGTATTGGGAAACCTTACAAATTTCTATGCTGCCCTTTACCGCTACAGGAAGCTACTGAGATGATAATTTTGATATTTATCTATCATTTTTTTATGTTATCAGTTTTTAAATAACATCGAACCCTTCCTTCTCTTGAGCATCTAAATTAGGAGATCTATTGGTATTTGAGGGTTGCTGTTACTGACCATAGGTAGTCTCTGACTTATGACCATATTTGGAACCTCTAACTGGAACTTCTCTTGCTCAGTGAGGCAGTCCTTAAGTGAACCACACCTGATTTTACAACCTTTTTAGCCACGGTCATTGAGTGAATCATGTGTTCATTAAGTGAAGCAGATCTCGTTTCCCCCACTGACTTTATTTCTCAGAAGCCATCTGGGAAATTTACAAATGGTGATCACATGACCCTGGGAGGCTGCAACAATTGTAAATCCTTGCCGCTTGCCAAGGGCCCTAATTCTGATCATGTAACCACAGGGATGTTGTGACAGTCATAAGTGCGAACGTAACTCAGCATGGTCATAACTCTGAATAGTCGCTAAATAAATGATTATAAGTTGAGGACAACAAAAGCAGACTCTAAGTTAAATTAGAAGATAAACTGCATAATAAAAAAAATACATTTTACAGGATTTTAGAATGTGTTTGTTCACTCCACCAGGAGACAACTAGGATACTTTTAAAATGAAAGCCAGAACGTTTTGAAGAAGAAACATTACCTAATATGTTACTGTTTAGCTGGCTTTGGCAAATATCTTAGTAAATGTAATCACATCGTGACTTCTGTCTCAACAATTGCCTCTTTAACTCTGAGATGTAGTCTAATGATTTTTCAGATTGAAATAATCCCGACTACAGTAATTATACTAGAGAATAGCAGTCAGTATTTAGGTTTTATAGATAAAAATCATACATGCTTTGCCATGTGTAAGTACTGGAGGTTTGTAAAATATGGGTCAGGAAGCTTGTCAGGGATTTGAAGCCACTGTACTTTACTGTATTAGACTATACCAGTGTTTCCCAAACTTGACAATTTTAAGGCATGTGGACTTTAACTCCCAGAATTCCACAGCCAGCATGCCTTAAGTCCACATGCCTTAAAATTGTCAAGTTTGGGAAACACTGGACTATACTATTACTATACTCCTATATGGAGAGCCAGTTTGGTGTAGTGCATAAAGGCACCAGGCTAGGAAATGGGAGACCATGAGTTTTAGTCCAGTCTTAGGCATAAAGCTAGCTGGGTCAGCTTGGACCAGTCACTCTTCTCAGTTGTAGGAAAACTGTAAAGGGCAAACCATTTTCAAAAAATATTTGCAAGAAAACTATAAAGACTAGACCAGGTAGTCAGCAGTAATCAAGACTGAGTTGAAGTCACAAAACAAGCAATGCTACCATACACTACTCATGTACATCATGATATAGAGGAGTATAGTAGCTAGGCTGCTGACTTTGATTGAGAACAGCTGGGCTCATATTTTGCTAGAAATAAAAACCAAAAGGTCATTGTCTTAACCAAACCATTATTTTTACTTATGGGAAATGCAGCATAAATAATAATGTGATGCCATTAAGACAAATTGATTTCAATCAATGACCACAACTGTATGTCACAAGTGAAACTTGATCCTTTTTTTTTCCTGCACTGAATCATTATAGAAATCATTTAATGACACTCTTATTATAGTATTTAGGTTTCACACACACTCACCAGAAAGCTACCCCTTCTGCTCTGGGTTCTACAGCTTATACTTACCTGCTTATTGGCTAGAATCATTACTGGCAATGTAGAGTTATTATGGACCAGCTGATGAAGAAGTGTTTTGGCAACTGGGAAGCGTTCATGATCTGCTGAGTCTACAACATAGATCAGCAGCAGGATTCTTGGCATATACATCTTCCAATACTCTCTTAAAGACTCACTGCCCCCAACTGTAAATCAATAATATAGGAAAACAATCAGCAGTTATCAATTAAAACTCCCATCTACATACCAAAACTTTCAACAGGAAGCAGCTGCATTTCAAATTCATTTCCCAGAAATGCTAAAGCACACGATAAAAAATCTTCCCAACAGTTATCATCCATAATTCAAAATGTAGCAGAAAAATACTAAGGTTAAAGTGCATACATTCAATTGGAATTAAGATATAAAGAATAAAAAATGATTCTATTTAATAAGCAATGGATGGGATGGATCTTATGATACAGCAGCTTTTAAATTGAATGTTTGTGTGTGTGATTGTGTGTGTATGTATAAAAATAAAATCTTGTGTGACCCAAATCATATTCTTCTAAACTTTTTCTCTCGTTCTACAGTTTAACTCTTTAAAAGTGAAATCTAAGTGTAGGAACCAAGATCCAATAGGATATAATCTGCTGAGTTTTATAATTCCTTTCTTTGTTAGAATGTCTTTATTTTAATAATTATACAAAGGTAACATAATTATTATAATTCAGTTTGAAGTATTCCTAGTATTTTGGCTCAATGAAGAAAAAAGATAAATTTTATTAGATATAAGTATTGGCTTACATAAAGTAGTTATATTTATTGGAAACAAAACTTTAACACAACAGTATTTCATCAGGGAAATGGAGGGGGAGATTTCTACAGCAGTGTTTCATTGGGAAGACATAAAATAGATGATTTTTTTTTTAAAAAAAATGCTTCTTATAAGATAGATATGCTTACTTTCTAGGAATTCCATCTTTGTTTCTTCTGTGTTGATACACACTGCATTGAAACCTTTGGTGGGAATTGTGTTGCGCTTTACTTGGTTAGTTGCTAGTGAATAGAGAACACTGGTTTTTCCAGCTCCATCTAAGCCTAGAACCAAGATTTGCTTGTTGGATGGTTTATCCTACAGAATAAAAGACCAAACAATTATCAGAAAAGATAGATGTAATAAAAGTAAAACCTGTGTGATTATTGTAATATTTAGTAGACATTTGAGCAAATAAAATAATGAGCGAAGCCAACGTAGTCAACTTTACTTACTAGTTACTAACCATACATATTATACCCACTAGACCAGTGGTTCTCAATCTGTGGGTCGGGACCCCATTTGGGATCGAACGACCATTTCACGGGGGTCGCCAAACCACGCTGTCTGCCATTTTTTTCCCTTTTCCTTAGCTGTCCTACTCCCTCTTATTGGTGGCCACACCCACTTGGCCACACCCCTGGGGGTCACCACAACACGGGGAACTGTATTATGGGGTCACAGCATTAGAAAGGTTGAGAACCACTGCACTAGACATAAATTGGTTAGAATTCCATGTCAGCATAGTTACATTATTCAATGTAAATACTATACCTATCAAATGTTTTAATTAGATTTATTTTGGCTAATTCAGCATAAAATTGTTACAAGTGACAAAAGGTGTTTAGAAACTGAAATAGCTATTTTTCCAAATGTTGTTATAGCAATTGTTGAATGATAATTCACTGTTTCTGATCTTAATTGGAGTAGGTAGGTGGGTTGACTGATACTTAAGAATTCTCAGCAGACAAGTAAAAGCAGAAAAGTTCACCTAGAAATCTAGACATTAGAAACCTATAGAAAGGGACTATCATTACAGACAAGCCTATAAACAGCTATCTAAAATATGCATATTATTCTGAAAACGTTACTGATATTATCATTTACAGCTGGGATAGGTATCTGGTGATCCTCTAGTCTAATGGTATCTGGTGATCCTCTAGTCTAATGGCAGCCAATATAGCCAAGGATGCTCTGAGTCATAGCTCTACAAATCCAGTCTTCTAGGAGTTGGGCTGCCTTAACAAATCAAACGTATAATAATAAAAAAATCCAGAGGGTCAAATGTTTCCTGTCCTAAAAAATCATAATGGTTACCAAATCCACCAGCAATTACATATCAATACAGGCACCTACAGGGTTGTTGTAATTGTTGTTGTTGTGGAGAAAACAGGAAGAGAAAATATTAGATATGTTTGCTACCTTGAGTTATTTATAAGAATAATAAAGATGAGAAATAAATAAAAAACAAGTCATTCAGAACTGAACTAATTCCAGTTCTATTGTAGTAATTCTTGCAGATGTTTGGGGTCATTTTTTTGCTATTATATGCTTAAAAAAACACCAATTACCAGCTTTTAAATTGTCCTTTTAGTCTTATTTTTCTATTTTTGACAGGATAACTATGTACTTTTTCCATCTAAACAGTAGGTCAATTCCTTAAAAGTTAACAATTGTTTTATTATGTTTATCCTGCCTTTATTTACACATGCACATACATGAAATAAGATCAGATAAAACAGCATAAAATTGTTTAGAAAACTTAGCAATTCGAAAGCATGCAAATACGAGTAGATACAATAAATAGGTGCCACATCAGTGGGAAAGTAACAGTGCCCCATGACATCATGCTGGCTACATGACTGCGGAAATGTCTTTGGACAGTGTTGGTTCAATGGCCTTGAAGCGGAGATGAGCACCGCCCCAATAGTCAGTAACAACTAGTGGAATAAAATCCACAGGGACTCTTTTACCTTTTATTATAACAATAAGGGACTTAAATCTCATTAGTCTGTCTGCTAGAACAATACAATTTTACTCACATAACTGTGAATTAAGAGACTCAAAAAAAAGTCACTCTGACTTTAAATGGACAAAAATTCTAGGGTTGTTAAAAAAAAATACCTTAAAGAGTACTGAGATCTTGTTCATATGATGTTTTTTAATCACACAATATGTGATAAGATCTGCTGCTAAGCTTAATCTTCTAGAGTTTCATTTCATTGGAACAGATCTTAAGAACTTGAATATTCTTAAGAACATTAATTACTAAGTGAAGAAAAGGATATGGGTACACAACAGCAATGAAAGAAACAATTCCAAATGGCTCACTATTAAGTTGATCTGGCATTCAAATTGCTAATATACCAAGATAAAACAAAGGAGGGCTAACCCTCTGGAAGGTTTCTATTCTTATCTCTTTCCACTCTGCATTAATAGGATTCTACCTGACTGATTTTATCTAAGCCTTTCATGATCTCAAAGAGATAAATAAATCTGTAATGGTTAAGATCTATGCCTGCTTTCAGATAATTAAAAGGTACCAGGAGGTTAGAAAATCTGGAGTTAGACTCTTGGTCACTTTTCACCCTCAACATTGGTCCAAAAGCTAAGTTTGTATAAACTTCTTAGAGTAGAAAAGCTACTAGTCGATGTATAACTTTTTAATAGCTCCTTATTCAAAAAAATTCTTCAAATGCAATCAGGTTGTAATCAAGCCTGCAAACAAAAGAGCATCATGTGCTATGACCATGCTTGGTAGAACATTGTGAGGGAAGAATTGTTTTTGTTTCCAATGCCTCAGGCAAAACCCAAACAATTTCCAAACAGATAAGAATCCAGCAGTAATAGAAAGAGATAGCTAAATGTCTATAGAGATTCTCAGTCATCCAGGTAATAGTTGTCCCAAAGGTGCTTTTTCAAGAGGCAACTGGACTTTGTTTTTCGTTGAAGATGTTTCGCTTCTTATCCTAGCACTCATCAGAGCTGAAGAAGCTTCTTGGATGAGAAACGAAACATCTTCAAAGAAAAATAAGAAAGTCCAGTTGTCTCTTGAAAAAGCACCTTTGGGACAATAGAAATGTTCCCATTGGGAAACCAGAGTTGAGGTGTAACTTCTTGCCATAGTTTTCAACACCTGTTCTTCTAATGCCGGACATAACTAGGAGACACCCAATTCTTCTGTTAGAGTAGTGCTATATTGGCACATTTAAACTAACTCCCCAATTAATTTTAATTAATTAAAATTCTACATTAATTGAAATAAATTTGATCTAGTTTAACCTAGTGCCCCAAGTAAATCTATCTTAAAATCCTTACAAATTATACCTTACAAAATTATGCTTTACAAAAACTTCTAGAGATTATTTCCTGCGAGTGACCGTTAGAATCAAAATCAACTGCCAGATTCCAAGTGTGGGATAAAGCACGATTTGTTTCCATTATTCTTCTTTGATAAACTCCCATCAACAGTGTGGTCTGATTCCACCCGTGCTTATTCAGGAGCAAATGTTTTGACTTCCAGGATGCTGACTCCCCCAAATTTTAACCCAGCACCTAATTTTAAACCCAACAGCCATCTTCTTTAAAAACAAACAAGAAAAAAACAACAACACTTTTACAACTCTTTCCAGAAAGTAGATGTTGAACTGGTTTTGTTCCCGCGGCTTTCCTCTTTCCAACCAGAACAGTATAGTGAGATTATGAACATTTTCCAGAAATATACAGTTTTCAGAACCATTCTTCCTTCACTCAATTTAATGAGAAAAAGGAAGAAATAGCAAACGCTTTACAATTTTTTTTTTTTTTTAAATTACAAGTAATTAACAGTTTTACCCGTTCGATTTCTACTGACAAGAACCGTGCCTAAATGCACGGGACTCTAAATTGGAGCTTTGGAAGTTAATTCCCCCGCGTTCACTACCTGTCCCGCCGGCGGGCCTGTGCCTCTTCCTTGCACACCGAGCCGGAGCCGAGCCTGCTGATTTTCGGGTCCCGGAGGCTCTTGAGAGGATAAGTAATTGCGCCAAAGAGCATAGGCGACCCCACCGGTGACTGCAACCGCGGTGCCCACGAACGCGAATTGCCGCAGGCTTCCCGCCATTACCCGAGAGAAGAGAGTTCGGGCGGGGCGGGACGCAACAAGATCGGGGACGTTACTTCACTCCCCTCCGCTCCGGAGGCGGAGCCCGATGGCAAGGCCCGCCCTTTCTCGTTGGGGTTCCGCCCCGCTGCGTCCGCAACAGCCTCTGATGGAAGGAAGTTTCGTGTTGTTCCTTTCAAGCAGACGAATTTTACCTTTGTGTCAACGCGCGTGTAGGAATTGGAATCTAAAACATTATTCTCGCTGCTCGTTTGCGGAGCAGTTATTCCCGCTGAAGCAAGCGGGGTGGCTAAGTGATAAAATCTCTCTGATGCTCTGGGCAGCCAAAGGATTGCTTTACTAAGAGCATAGAATAATAGAGTTGGAAGGGACTAGAACAGATAGGCAACCTTGGCTCTTTTATGACTTGTGGACTTCAATACCCAGAATTCCTGAACCAGCCATGCTGACTCAGGAATTCTGGGAGTTGAAGTCCACAAGTCATGAAAGAGCCAAGGTTGCCTACCTGTTCTAGTCCAATCCCCTGCTCGAGCAGGTGACCCTATACCATTTCAGATAAGTGGCTGTCCAGTCTCTTTTTGAAAGCCTCCAGTGAGGAGCACCCACAGCTTCTGAAGGCAAGCTATTCCATTGGTTGATTGCTTTCACCGTTAGGAAATTTCTCTTAAGAACTAATTCTAGGTTGATTAAGATGTGTGGACTTCACATGCTGGCTGGGGAATTCTGGTAGTTGAAGTCCACACATCTTAACATGGCTAAGGTTGACAAATACTGGTATTGGTCTAGGGATCAAGATGGGTCAATACAAACCTCCGTACTCCACTTTCACTGTACACAATCCTTTGTTGTTGTTGTTAATTGCGAAGTCGTGTCTGACCCATCGCGACCCCATGGACAACGTTCCTCCAGGTCTTCCTGTCCTCTACCATCTTCTGGAGTCCATTTAAGTTCACACCTACTGCTTCAGTGACTCCATCCAGCCATCTCATTCTCTGTCGTCCCCTTCTTCTATTGCCCTCAATCTTTCCCAGCATTAGGCCCTTCTCCAGTGAGTCCTTCCTTCTCATTAGGTGGCCAAAGTATTTGAGTTTCAACTTCAGGATCTGGCCTTCTAAAGAGCAGTCGGGGTTGATCTCTTCTAGGACTGACCGGTTTGAACGCCTTGCAGTCCAAGGGACTCGCAGGAGTCTTCTCCAGCACCATAGTTCAAAGGCCTCAATTCTTTGGCGCTCAGCCTTTCTTATGGTCCAACTTTCACAGCCATACATTGCAACTGGGAAAACCATGGCCTGGACTATACGCACTTTTGTTGGCAGGGTGATGTCTCTGCTTTTTAGAATGCTGTCTAGATTTGCCATAGCTTTCCTCCCCAGGAGCAAGCGTCTTTTAATTTCTTGGCTGCAGTCCCCATCTGAGGTGATCTTTGAGCCCAGAAAAATAAAATCTGTCACTACCTCCATTTCTTCCCCATCTATTTGCCAGGAATTGAGAGGGCCGGATGCCATGATTTTGGTTTTCTTAATGTTGAGTTTCAAGCCAACTTTTGCACTCTCCTTCTTCACCCGCATCAAGAGGCTCTTTAGTTCCTCTTCACTTTCTGCCATTAGAGTGGTATCATCTGCATATCTTAGGTTGTTGATATTTCTCCCGGCAATCTTAATTCCAACTTTTGATTCATCTAGCCCTGCCTTTCTCATGATGTGCTCTGCATATAAGTTAAATAGGCAGGGCGACAGTATACAGCCTTGCCGGACTCCTTTTCCAATTTTGAACCAATCAGTGGTTCCGTGTTCGGTTCTCACTGTTGCTTCTTGACCCGCATATAGGTTTCTCAAGAGACAAATGAGATGGTCTGGTACTCCCATCTCTTTAAGAACTTGCCACAATTTGTTGTGATCCACACAATCAAAGGCTTTTGCATAGTCAATGAAGCAGAAGTAGATGTTTTTCTGGAACTCCCTAGCTTTCTCCATGATCCAGCGTATGTTGGCAATTTGATCTCTAGTTCCTCTGCCTCTTCGAAATCCTGCCTGTACTTCTGGTAGTTCTCGATCCACATACTGCTGGAGTCTAGCTTGTAGGATTTTAAGCATAACTTTACTAGCATGTGAAATGAGTGCAATGGTGCGATAGTTTGAACATTCTTTGGCATTGCCTTTCTTTGGAATTGGAATGTAAACTGACCTTTTCCAATCCTGTGGCCACTGTTGAGTTTTCCAAATTTGCTGGCAAATTGAGTGTAGCACTTTTACTGCATCGTCTTTTAAGATTTTGAATAGCTCAGCTGGAATACTGTCACCTCCACTAGCTTTGTTGTTGCTCAGATTTTCTAAGGCCCATTTCACTTCACATTCTAGGATGTCTGGTTCGAGGTCAGTGACCATCTCATTGTGGTTATCTGGGATGTTAAGCTCATTCTTGTATAGTTCTTCTGTGTAGTTTTGCCATCTCTTCTTAATCTCTTCTGCCTTTGTTAGGTCTCTGCCATTTTGGTCCTTTATCATGCCCATCTTTGCATGAAACGTTCCCTTCATATCTCCAATTTTCTTGAAGAGATCTCTGGTCCTCCCTATTCTGTTGTTTTCTTCTATTTCTTTGCACTGTTCATTTAAGAAGGCATTCTTATCTCTTCTAGCTACTCTCTGGAATTCTGCATTCAATTGGGTGTATCTTTCTCTTTCTCCTTTGCCTTTCGCTTCCCTTCTTTCCTCAGCTATTTGCAAAGCTTCCTCAGACAGCCATTTTGCTTTCTTGCATTTCTTTTTCTTTGGGATGGTTTTAGTTGCTACCTCTTGTACAATGTTGTGAACTTCCATCCATAGTTCTTCAGGCACTCTGTCTATCAGATCTAATTCCTTAAATCTATTTGTCACCTCTACTGTATATTCATCAGGAATATGATTTAGTTCATACTGAGTGGCCTAGTGCTTTTCCCTACTTTTTTCAATTTAAGCCTAAATTTTGCAACGAGAAGCTCATGATCTGAGCCACAGTCAGCTCCTGGTCTTGTTTTTACTGACTATATACAGCTTCTCCATCTTTGGCTGCAGAGCACATAGTCAATCTGATTTCTATGTTGACCGTCTAGTGATGTCCATGTGTAAAGCCGTCTCTTGGGTTGTTGGAAAAGAGTGTTTGTTATGACCATCGTATTCTCTTGACAAAATTCTATTAGCCTGTGCCCTGCTTCATTTTGTACTCCAAGGCCAAACTTGCCTGTTATTCCGGTTATCTTTTGGCTTCCTACCTTAGCATTCCAGTCCCCCATGATGATAAGGACATCATTTTTTGGTGTTAATTCTATAAGGTGCTGTAGGGCTTCATAGAACCGGTCAATTTCATCCTCTTCAGCACCAGTGGTTGGGGCATAGATTTGGACTACTGTGATATTGAATGGTTTGCCTTGGATTCGAATTGAGATCATTCTGTCATTTTGGGGATTGTATCCCAGTATTGCTTTTCCTATTCTTTTATTGACTATGAAGGCTACTCCATTTCTTCTGAGGGATTCTTGCCCACAGTAGTATACCTGATGGTCATCTGAGTTAAATTCACCCATTCCTGTCCATTTTAGTTTGCTGATTCCTAAGATGTCGATGTTCAGTCTTGTCATCTCTTTTTTGACTACGTCTAGCTTGCCTTGATTCATGGATCTTACATTCCAGGTTCCTATGGAGAAAAAATCTTTACAGCATCGGACTTTCCTTTCACCACCAGATATATCCACAGCTGAGCGTCCTTTCGGCTTTGGCCCAGTCGCTTCATTCTTTCTGGTGCTACTAGTACTAGCCCTCTGCTCTTCCCCAGTAGCATATTGGACACCTTCCGACCTGAGGGGCTCATCTTCCAGCGTCATATCTTTTTGCCTTTTAGTACTGTCCATGGGGTTTTCATGGCAAAGATATTGGAGTGGTTTGCCATTTCCTTCTCCAGTGGATCACATTTTGTCAGAACTCTCTGCTATAACCTGTCCATCTTGGGTGGCCCTGCACGGCATAGCTTATAGCTTCATTGAGTTACGCAAGCCCCTTCGCCACGACAAGGCAGTAATCCATAAAGGGGACACAATCCTTAAGATACATTAATTTTCAGCCTGCATGTAGCTGCTTTGAAAGAGGTATGTATGTAGCTATTTCACACCTGCTTTTCTGCTATTACATTCTGCTATTACATTTAGAATCAGCATCAGATATGGAAGACAGGGAACAAGTGCAGCCTTCTTCTATAGGGCCACTTTTGTAGTGGGGGAGCAGAAAATACATGTGTGCCAGCTAGCTTTATTATCATTTCCATTCCCCCAGTATGGCTGAAACTTACTTTCTGCAAGAAATGACACAAAAGTAGGATCAGGAAAACATAACAGCATAATAAAAGTACAGGAACTGCATTCTGCACAGTAATATGCACTTTCCTTTTTTTCTTTTAATTAGGCAAGGAATGGCTTTACGACTTGATCGAAGAGCTGCAGCCTCAGCGTGAATACAGCTCATAGATCTAAGCTCTTTCTGAACACATTCAGAGGGTATATTTTCTACCCACCAAGAAACAGCCATTACCAATTAGACATAAAAAAAGTTTAAGTACTTCTGCAAGATTTATCTTTTTACTTACGATATAGCAATTGTGAAGTGCATTGTAGTTAAAAACCTCTGTCCCTTCAGCTCCCCCCCTCATATATATTTTTTGTTGGAACTTGCCAAGAGCTGGCCATTATTGTTGTAAACTGAATGGGAACCTTATCCAAACATAATTAAATTACTTTTTTAATAGTCCATAAAAGGAAAATTAAGGAATACAGAAACTGATAAAATGCAAAAGCATGACACAACATCTGAAATATTACTGCAGTATAATGCTGGATATCATTCTAGCTAAAACCTGTATATTTTCATTTTGGTGTCAAGTGTTGGGTATTCGATATCTAAACTCAAATGTTCAGTTTTCATTGCCTTTTACATTATCAATATGCAAATGGTAGTTTTCAATTTATAGTTTGAGATTTGGGTTGCAACTTATCAAAATATTATTGGGAAAATATGTTTTTTCAGGGTAGTTTTACACTCGAGTAGA